TTTTAAAAAAAAAAAAATCTTTGCAAACAAAGCTAAAATCAAATCTGTCTATCTGCAGGACCTGTTGGATCACTCATGTACGTCCGGCAGTGGTTCGGGTCTTCCCTTCCTTGTTCAAAGAACTGTGGCCCGACAGATTAGTCTGATGGAGTGCGTAGGTAGGTATAACACGTAACATTTCAGATTCATATCTGTTTGACTGGCAGATCTGATAGAGTTCTACTGAAAAGCAAATTGTTCAGATGACATGAAAAAAATCCAAAGTCATGACACATAAGTTATTCATCACGAAAATAACAAATTCTTATCATTAATCAGGAGGAAAGGGATATATTCACACATTAGTTAGTTTCCCAGAAGCGAGCATGCTTATAATTAACGCCACAGGCGATCCTGACTACAGTCATGACTGTACATATCCGTGGAATCTGAGTGATGTCAAAGAGACGGGAGATCAAATCATCTGTGACTTACTTCAAGAAACTGTCAAAACATTTTATCAGTTCCTTTTTTATTTGTGTGAGTTGTTGACCATGTTCAAAACTGTCACCTGTCAGAAGTTAAAGATAAAGATAATGTCACTGTAAAAAGCACTATAAAATCTGACAGATTTTGATGTAGCTTTCAAATAAAAGTATGTAGGTTACTTGTCTTGGGGTCCTTTTTATATACCACATTATCATGAACTACAGCATGTAAGAGTTTGGTTTTCAAGTTTGTGGCTTTGTGCACAGTTGAGCTTTTGATGTGGAAACATCAAATCTGGGCCAAAAGAATCTCACTGCTGTAGCAATGGAATAGAGTGAAAATTCACCCCTCAAATTTTAAAAAGTAGACAGTGATTGTCTTTTTAAAATGCATGCATCTGTATTTTTTTCTTTTCTGACTTGCTGTTTGTTGTCTCCTCTTGTGTTCTCTTTATTATACATATATATTTTTTCCGCCAGGCAAAGGACGATATGGAGAGGTGTGGCGAGGACAGTGGCAGGGCGAGAATGTGGCCGTGAAAATCTTTTCCTCGAGAGATGAGAAGTCTTGGTTCAGAGAGACAGAGATCTACAATACAGTGCTGCTGAGGCATGAAAACATACTGGGTGAGTCTGTTACGCTTAATGTTTTGGTCTTGCTGACTGTCCCCAAATTTGGTTAGGCTAACATGTGTGTTTCCTTGCATAGTAATGGCAGCTCCTAATTTTAACCTCAGCTTTCCTGAACTGGACAATCTCTCAGTTTATTTTAAAGCACTAAGTCACGGAAATCATGATGTCAGCGGGACGGCTCAGGTTAGAGCTACTGGGATAGTGGATATATTAAACAAAGGGATCTTGAATATGGAGCTGCCAGGCTTGAGGAAAAGTGTAAAACCACGAAGATTCATTAATGCAGAAGAAGAGGACATGCAGAGGGTTGGTATGACAGAAAAGGATCCTAGGGACAGAGTGAGATGGAGGTAGAGGAGTCGCTGTGGTGACCCCCTAAAGGGACCAGGAAGTACAAGATGATCTGTGAAAGATAATACAAAAGGATTCAGCAAAATGCAACAGTAATAAGTGTGATGGATGCCAGAGGAACTTGACTTACGTCTGAATCAATAATACACAATTTCATGATATTACCTTTCACCTTTCTGTCCCTCAGGGTTCATGGCATCCGATATGACTTCTCGAAACTCCAGCACTCAACTGTGGCTCATCACCCATTACCATGAAAATGGTTCGCTTTATGACTACTTGCAGCGAGTCGCAGTGGAGACATCAGAAGGTCTGGCAATGGCTGCATCGATAGCGTGCGGCCTGGTGCACCTGCACACGGAGATCTTTGGCACAGAGGGGAAACCGGCCATCGCACACCGGGACCTGAAGAGTAAAAATATATTGGTGACCAAGGAGCTGCGGTGCTGCATCGCAGACCTTGGTCAGTCACTTTTCTGCTTTTTTTCTCCTCCGAACTGTTGGGATTTTCACCTATTTCAGGGATTCAGATAAACTGTAGGCATGTGATTCACCAGTGCTACCTGCTCAAAAGAGTAAACATAAATTAATTAGATACTAAAAGTACTAAAAAATCATACGCTCATTTCAGGAGACATCAATTTCAGGTCCTGTTATAACACTGTGTGTAACTGCATGCTACAGGGCTGGCCGTGACCCACTCCCAGGCAGACAATCTGCTGGATGTGGGCAACAATCCAAAGGTTGGCACCAAGCGCTACATGGCACCTGAAGTGTTGGAAGAAACCATTCAGACAGACTGCTTCGATGCTTACAAGCGAGTGGACATATGGGCCTTTGGACTGGTGCTGTGGGAGATAGCGAGACGCACGTACAGCAATGGTGAGTGTCATGCACATAGTGCACTGCTGTGGACGTTACAGAGAGTGGTACGCTAATGTGATCACGATGCACTCCTTCATACATAAAATTCCTGCTGCTTGTAATACAGTCAAATACTATGATGCAGTGCGGTGATCTGTGCCAGGCCCTCTGGTTGTCTCTTCATTCCTTGTTGTTTAACTTGTCCTTAAATTTTCACTAATTTTTCTCATTCAAATTCCACTTTCCAGGCATTGTTGAGGAGTACAAACCTCCGTTTTACGATCAGGTGCCAAACGATCCCAGCTTTGAGGATATGAGGAAAGTGGTGTGTGTGGAACAGCAGAGGCCTTTCATTCCTAATCGATGGTTCTCTGATCCTGTGAGTAAGAATCTTTTTGTGTGTCTGTCTGCAATATTTTGTCTGTGTGTCAACATATTTGTCAATAGGATGAAGGCGTTCAAAAAGTCAGATTTTGGCCATGTGGTAATTATATAGGCCTTCTGCGATGTTTATGACAAATACTGACATGAGACACTTTATTTGCAGTAACATCTACACTTACTGTCCATTTATATCGAATTAGACCCCTTTGAACAGAATTCCCTGAGATCTTTGAAGCACAGATTAATGGCCCAGAGATTTTGGTCCATGTTGAAATGATAGCGCCACACACCATATGTGCTCAGTTGGATTGAGATCTGGTGTCTGTGGAGGCCATTTGAGTTCAGTGAAACGAGTAGAACTGCAGAAATTGAGACTCGTCAGATGAGGCAACCTTTTTCGAGTCTTGATGGTGCGGTCTTCTGCTGTTGTAGCCCATCTGCTGCAAATGTTGATGTGTTCTGACGTGCTCTTCTATATACCTTGGTTTTAACAGCCGGTTATTTGAGTGACTGTTGATATTTGATCTTTTTATGTCATTTTCTTTAAACCATAGAGATGGCTATGCAAGTTGTTGTTACCAGTGCATTTGGTACCAGTAATCATGTTCAGAGTCTCCTAAGTCACCTTTCTTCTAATGCTGATGCTCAGTTTGACCTTCAACATGAAATCTTGAACATGTCTGGATGCACTCAGCTCCTGCCACATGAGTGGCAGATTAGATTGGCAGGTTGCATTAACAAGCAGTTGTACAAAATATCTGACATTTTGTCTACTCTCAGCTTTACTAGACAGACAATTATACTTTGCTTATACTAAATTTCTTCAGTCTTCATTATGTATTATGGGTCTAATAGTTAACTAGAGGCATACAGCTGTGAAACAGTCCATCAAGTATATTGTTGTTTTTTCTGCAATTGCTTAATAGCACCTGTATATGATGACGAACCAACTACTCTTGCTCTTATTTTATCCATGACTCATGAGTGCCTACATATGTGATCATTATCTGGTGATGGGCCAACATCTGAAAGTGCTTGCAGTCACATTGATTCTTTTCAGAATGGATTCATCACTGTTTTTATTCATTCTTTCTCCCTCAGACTCTCTCTGCTCTGGTGAAACTAATGAAGGAATGTTGGTACCAGAACCCCTCTGCCAGGCTTACAGCACTGCGCATCAAGAAGACCCTAGACAAGATTCACAGCTCTCTGGAAAAGGGCAAGGAGTCGTGAGGGTGCCATGTTTCAGAGGCAGCTGCCTGGTGTCAGGGATTGGCTTCAACAAGACTCCCAGTGTTTTGTTAAAAAGAGAGAGGGAGATTAGGCAGATGGAAAGAGGACTAGAGGAAAGGTGTTCCAAGAGTCATTCAGCCTCATCCTTCTCTCACTTTCTCTGTGGATGCCTTCCACCAACATGTTTGACTTGAAGCCCACACAGACATTTGGACCTGTCGTTTCTGAATAAGCCAGCCTTTGATATGAGGCAAACCAATTGCCAGTGTGTTTCCACCAACTTGAACTATGGACTGTTACTGAGTGTGACTGGCTGGTATATTATAGGAACCCCATCCCAATGCTTTAATGCCCATGCGGGACTACACTGGGTTTTGCCTTCCAGTACAAACACTACAAGACTGAGTGTCTACTCAAATTTCTGATCTCCAGCCTTTTGGCATTCTGCTCAGAGACAATCAGAAATCTATTACCCATTTATTACTATCAGCCATCACCACAGAAACACAATGTTCACTTATAAAAGGAAAAAAGAGCCAATCGAATCAAAATTGTTTTTAAACCTTTTTCTTAAAGAAAAAAAAACACTAGTATGTTATTTATGTATTGAATCACCATTGCTACCACACTACTGAAGATACAGATTAATGTGCGATGGGTGTGTGAAACTGACTGCATACATATATAGGCATTTACTCTACTGGACTTCCTCTACACGTCATCATTATTTGGACAGGAAATGATATTTTGAGAAATAGTGGACAAGGGTAGGGAAGAAGATCAAAACACTACAAACATGTTTATTCTGATGGTTTGTGGACTAGAGAAGCAGCAAGTACCTGCCAATAGGAATTAGTGTGTAACTTGTGATAGGAATAGGAAATGACCTGATCCTCTGTGTGGCATACTTTATAAACTCACTGTGGCTGATTCTGAAAAAGTCTTCTGCTCAGGCAAGGAGGAATCACAAAATGTTTATTTGTGTTCTAATGTGCATTTTATTTTAAGAGACTGGAGGTGAAATCTAGTTGTGTACAAGTTGCCTGAATAATGGAAAAACAAACTGTCTTCATTTGGAAATGTTTATTGAAGACTTTAAATTTAAAGTTGCAGGTGTATGAAGGATTTTGTTTTCAAATGCTGGCTTTGTTTTTTTGGGGGGGAAAAGTTGTTTTGCCTTTTTATATGTAAACATTTACTGCACTCTTGCCTAATGAATGCGCAGTATGTGCTCTGATTTCTACAAACAAAATTGGAAAGCTTTAATCTGCTACTGCATGATTATACATTCAGTACATGTACACAGTCAGCTGCTGACACCTACTATGGCTACATCCAAATCCAGAACATCTGGCTGGCCACCAATTACAAGCTGTGGCATTCACTGCATAAATGTATCAAACATCAGTTTATCCAGACAACATTTTACCCACACTGTTATACCCATACTGTTATACCCACCTGCCCTCTAGTGGCACTCAAACACCATATGAAGGACAGTCATTGTTCATTTGTTTCCTCTGAGAAAGTGGAATTTTTTTCTTTTCAAGCTCTAAAACCTGCTGAATATTCTATAGAATATGGAGTGCATCAGACTAAGGCTACTCTATCAGTGCAACTAACAAGGGTAGTTAAAATATTTAAACTGGAACTTCACTTCCGCAGCTTGCTAAAGAAGATATCTGTCTGAAAGTAATGCTTTGTATAAAATGAAACTACTTTGTCTTTTCTTTTTTGCAAGACTGGGTTTTGTGGCTTGTGTGACAAATAGTGTTTCTTGAGTGAACTGTCAGCTCTGCACCAAATGTGTGAAAAGCACCTTAACTGCACACACACGCCATATAGGGTTGAGGTTGTACCGGTAACTAAAGTTTAACTCGAGCATGACCTCTGCGTACATCACTGCTTCAGGTTGTCTGGTAAAGTCTTGTACGGGTTGAGGATGCCTTTGGGGTCCAGCATAGCCTTGATGTTACCCATCAGTGCCACAGCCTGGCTCTGTTTACTGTAGTAAATGTAGTTCCTCTTTTTCAGGCCCAGTCCATGCTCTGCACTAATGCTCCCACGACAGCTGGCTGTCCATTCATAAACAAATGGCTCAATGGCAGCCAGGAGAGCAGGGTCTTTAGACGGAGAAGTGACGTTCAGGTGGAGGTTACCATCACCTACAGGATAAGTAAGAGAGAATTGGATGATAGCTGACAGTAGTATGTGTATAGAGTATGTGCAGATCATTTTATCAAGTCGTCTTACCTACGTGTCCGTATCCCACCACACTTTTGGCCCGGTTTCCCAGATGCTTCCTCATGTCTGTCACCAGCTGGTAGATCCGTTCCACTGGAAGGGAGATGTCATACTTGTAGGTGAAGCCATCGTGAGTCAGTGCCTCAGTGACACGTTCACGCAGTGACCACAGAGCCTGAGAAAACGGGAGCAGAAAATGTTTTTATCATTTGGCATTATATTTACCTATGCAATTACATAAAATGATCTTGGATCAATCTTGGAATACTTAAGTTTCTTCACTCTATGCAACAGAAGCATATTTTTCCCAATCATGTCCACCGACCTTTATTTTTGCTTCCTCAGTTGCTACCGTTCCATCACTGACCAGCGATGATGTCATTGCCTCCTCAAGAAAGTTGTGGAGTTTCTGCGCATCGTGGGTCGGGTCAGATCCCGAAGTTTCAATGACGATGTAGAATGGACAGTCTGTACAGCAAACGGAAAGGGCAGGTCTGCGTGTGCTCACTCGTTTTATAGGATCGTTACAGATGTGTGTGTGTGTGTGTGTGTGTGTGTGTGTGTGTGTGTGTGTGTGTGTGTGTGTGTGTGTGTGTGTGTGTGTGTGTGAGAGAGAGAGAGAGAGAGAGAGAGAGAGAGAACGTGCTTATACCAGATATAGGATTGGGTAGTTTGAGATGCGTATTCAGCAGCCTCATACATTCACTGTCCAGGAACTCGAAGGCAGACAGAATTTCTCCCAGCATGCCTTTGCAGAGCTGAAATGTTTTCAGCAGCTGCTCAAAGGTCTCACAACCTAACAGCAGAGATAGACACATGAGTTTTGTTGCTAATCTCCAAGAAAAGCAACGCATTTAATGGTTTACAAAACTTTCTCTATCATCTTTTACAAAGGTATATCTGAGAAGCAAATAGAAAATCCTACCCAGGAAAACAACATTAACAGATTTGGGTTTCCGTGGACAAAGGATGGACACTGCAGTAATGACTCCTAAAGTGCCTTCTGACCCTATGAAGAGCTGTTTGAGGTCATATCCTGTATTATCTTTCCGCAGGGTGGATAAGCAGTCCAACACCTGCCCATCTGCCAATACCTGCATGTGTTACAGATTTGAAAATAAGCTTTACTTTTTTTTGGGGGGGAAGAGTATCAAAAGTCCAGCACTCACCAATTCCAGACCCAACACAGTCCCGTGTAGGGACCCATACCGCAGCAGCCGGAGACCACCTGCATTGGTTGCTACATTGCCGCCAATTTGGCAACTGCCTTTTGCCCCAAGATCCAGTGGCATTATATAGTCTCTCTCCTCGAGGTAGAAAGACAAGTTCTCCAAGACACAACCTGCCTGACAGGTCAGAACACCTGAGAGGGAAACAAAGTGATCTTTGAGAATTTTCAGCACAAGTAACCATAAATCAAAAACACATTTGTCAGGTATTTGTCAGCCTATGGCGACAAAGTTGAATTCTTTTGAATTAAACTAGTAAACTTACCAGAGATACTGTCAAAGTTAAGGATTTTGTTCATTAGAGAGGTGGAGAGAATTATCTCATCATAAACTGGCACGCTGCCACCAACTAGCCCAGTGTTTCCTCCTTGAGGGTTCACCGCCAGGTTACGACTGTTACAGTAACTATAGGAGAAAAACAAAACATGTGAAAAAGTCTGATGACTAGATAAACACCTTTCTGTTGATTTGGTTACCATCTACCTTAGAATTTGTGATACTTCCTCTGTTGTCTGAGGTCTAAGCAACACTTCACTAGAACCTGCAGGACATATAACAGAAAAATGAGCCATCAACACCAGTAGATTATTATTATGAACTATATTAAGGATTCAATTGTAGCCTTCACCTCTCACAGACTTTAGCCAATCCACATTACTAGGCTCCACCAGATCAGGGTCAACAATGGTTCTGCCTGCTAGGATCTTCCTGAAAAAGGCCAGATCTTCCTCAGTTACTCTGCAGAAAGGCAACCTCTCTGGTGCTGCAGAAGGAGATACTTTAGACCCGTCTGCCCCAGCATGTAGCTTACGAGTGGAGGCCAAAACCTGCTCTGAGCTGCAGGTCAGAAAAGGACTGTGAAAGTCAACAGGTGAAAGAGTGGCTGTAGATCGTGAGAGCATGCTGTAGTCGCACAGACATCTCAGAGCTGTCCTTAGCCTTAGTGCTCTTTTCAAAAGTCCTGCCATGACTGTAGAGACAGGCGGCAACACAAGCTGCAGAAAACAGGTGGGACAACAAGAAGAGTTGGATATTTTTAAAAGCATTTTTATCTTGTAGTGGAGTTGAAAGCTTCTAGTTATTTTGTCTCTAGTCATCTGCAATGTTAGGATTGTTAGCTAGAAGTTAACTGCATTTTCTTTGCTTCAAAGACGCAGAAATAAAAAGCCAACCTTGATTAAACTCTACATTGGTGGCAATTCGTTGCATCTCTTTCTGCATCCATTCATAAACACAAACAGCAATAGGAGATGGAAGATATGAGGTATAAGAGACCTAAGATATGAACAGCTTTAGTAAGTGCACCAACTAAAGCTGTCTTTTTACATGTGTTTTGCAGCAAATACGCTTACTTCCCAGCAGCAATGCATCTTATTACCCTCTTTGCATGTTTTCTTCTTGCAAATATCACCACCTGAAGCAGCTGCAACCTCAGTTAGCTTAGCTACTTTGCTTAGCACGCTCCTTTCCGATATTTCCGAATAACGGCTTCATTTACTCACCAGAAGCGTTCATTTAGCAATGTGTGTCTTTTTTTCGCGTCATGAAAGTCACAAAGTTCAAGGGCAGTTCAGTTACATAAACATGGCACATCCCGTGTTTTTAGCTTGCTAGCAAGTGCATGAAGCTGCTTACTGAGGTTGACAGTAAGAAAAAAAGCAGAGAGGAAAACGGACCAATCAGAAGCATGTTTTCAGATTGACGCAATGGATATTAGCCTATGGGTGGGAGCCTTTCTTTATTATTAAACAGAGTGATGACTGAATAATCAAGCTGTGAATCGAGGTTTAGAGAGAAAATAATTAATTACAGACCTTTTTCATTTGATTAATTTAGAACAGGACCAAATTAATATACTTGTGAATCTAAAACTAATCTATAAAACTCTGGAGCATAACCCCCCCCCCCCCCCCCCAAAAAAAAAAAACCCCAGACAACTCAAGGGATGAACCACACATCTTTGTTGCAAGCTTATGGCAAAAGCACATTTGTTTCCCCCCGTTTTAGTTGATCTGAAAAGATGTCAAAGACAACATTTTACAGGCATAAAGTAGTATTTCTGCATCAAAACGATGATTACAGTGTCCTTTTCATCTTACATCATTCATTACTCTTTTATTTGGTATTTAGAGTAAAATTACAGTAAATAAGGAGAAGTATCACACAAAATGAGTATAAACAGATTTATTTGAATCTCAGACAAAATCTTGAGTAATGCATCATGCATTCTGTAAAGTACACAGCATGCAACTACGTCTTTTCATATTTCGATTCCTTCCCAGAAACAGTATAATAACGTCCTTCCAGACAATTAAAACCTATTTTAAATTTACACTTTTACTGAAGCTCGTGCGGAACACACATTCCCTGATTACAACTTAAAGTTCACATGACATTCAACATAACAGTCTTCAGTGATCCAGGAAAATCACCTGAAGCACAGTACCAGTGGAATACTATGAATCGAGTCCAGTTGGAGCACAAGGCAAAACTCGGCAGTCACAGCCAACTGGCAAGACTTGTAATCTCACCAAACCCGAAGAACAGGACGGATTCTTCTCAGGACACATCTGCGTCCCAGCTGCCATCAGACATTAACCTTCACCTGCCATTTGTATGAGCTGTCTGGGTGGGTACAGCGTGTAGTTTATTATTTTTTCATGTTTATAGTTTAAACCTCAACACTGATGCGTTTGACAGAACATGTTAGTAAATACTCAAATTGATTAAATTCACACAAAAAACCCAAATCAACGACTAAAAGGTGTAATAGGGATGAGAATCTCCAAATGTTTTTAAGGCTTTTCACCTCATTTCCTCATGTGTTTGCATTTTGAGGAGTAAGACCCTAGCTCTAGGTTTTAGAGCAAAACTAATGTTACTCCCGTGTTGCTGCAGTAGCATCACTTTGACCACTTTCAAAGAAAATCCCTCATCTTGCCGTCCGATCACTCCAGCTCCTCACAAAACTTAGACTTAACCTCGCCAACAATCGCAGTAGATCTAATGATACTATATTTAGCCATTAAGACCACAGACCTAAGCATGATGGCACTGAGCTCAGCAGCATGAATCCCCTTTGGCTGGGGATCTTTGTCGTACTCGTGAAGTTCACTCGTCATTCCGAGTTAGGCTCTTCAGTTCAGAGCGGCATGCTCCACACGGAGCTGCTGCTGGTCGTACTCTGATATGAGCTTCTTGATGTGTGCCAGTTTGTTGTGCAAGTATTCACAGCGAGCCTTGTCCTGATTGTAGTTTGGGTTGGACTGTAGTGAGGAAAGGAAAACTTGATTATTTAAAAGCGGTGGTTTTTTAAAAAAAGTGGGGAGTTTTAAGAAAGTCATTACCTTTTTAATTTTCCGATACTCTTGAAGAATTTGATTTCTAACTGTCTGCCAGGGATAAATACAGAAATGAAGATTAATTTAAATCAAGTCTGTGAAAAGTTGCAAAATAATCCTTATGTGACTATAAGATCACAGAAAAACTATAATACATCACTGTTTGTCTTCATGGTTTTGTTTATTAGGCTTCAGGAACCATGACCTAACAATTTCACCCCCCCAAATGCTGGTACAGGGGCCCCATTGTGTGTGAACGTTTGATATAGGAAAAATATGACTGAATTTGCCACATATACACGTCACTGCTCACTTTAATAAGTACACCTGTTCATCTGCTCAGTCTAATGAGCCAAAAATAAATCCTTCACCCATAGTGGCAATTCTGTAGGTGAAAATGTCTTAGTCATTGGGAATCCCCAAAGCACTCTAACATCAGTTAGAGTGCTTTGGGGATTCCCAATGACTTTACAGGCCCAACTGCTTCGGGCCAACAAGTATAAAGAAGAGCATTGCTGAATGCACTTGCAGCCTTGAGGCACATGGATTATAGAAGCAGAAGACCTAACTTGTTGCCACTACAGGAAACTGAGGCTACAATTTGCGTAAGTTTAACAAATTTAGGCGACAGGTCATATTATGGTGTGGGGGATATTTTCTTGATACATTTTGGACGTCCTAGGAACAACTGAGCATCATTTAAACAATACAGCCTATTTGAGTATTGTTACTAACCATGTCCCTCCCTTTATGACCACAGTGTACCATCTTCTGATGGCTGCTTTCTGGAGAATAACACACTGTCACAGAGCTCAAACATTATCAAACTGGTTTCAGTTGTCACTGCACTTAATTCTGCTTCCGGTCACCAGATTTCAATCCAATGAAGCACCTTTGGGATATGGTGGAACGGCAGATTGACATCATGGATGTGCAACCGATAAATCTGCAGTAACCGTGTGATGCAATCCAACACGGACCAAAATCTCTGAAGAATGAAACTATGCCATGAAGAACCAAGGCTGTTCTTAAGACCAAAGGGGGTCCAACCTAGTACAAGTAAGGTGTACCTAATAAAGTGGACGGTATGTGTCTAATGACTAACTACAAACAGCAAAGAAAGATGAGAGGATGTTTATGCAAACTTCCTCCATTTAAAAAAAAAAAAAAAGAAAAGAAAAATAAAGACTTTCTGTACATCTACCTTATATTTATGTGATTCATGGTGGAGTTGCTTGAGTTGTGTGTCCAAATCCATGAACTGCTGCGTCACGCTGTCAATGCGAGCGTGTAAATCTCGATACTCATTGTACTCCTTGTTAAAGTCCTGTTTGTAACTTTGTCTCTGCTCGTGGCTACAAATCACTGTGTACTTCCTGTGAAGAGGGCGGGAAAAAAGAAGAAAAGGAAATTATTGAATAAAAGTGCATTAAGACAAGTAAACAACCCCTTTTGACCATTGCAAATACTTGTTCAAATGAATGATGCTTACAATAAATAGTCTGGTGTGTCACTGTCCACTCGAAGTGCATTAGAGTCAAAAAAAATGTCAGCCGGCTCTGAAAGAAAAACAGAAACATGTCAGCTAAGTGAAAAACTAAACAAGCAGCACATGTGCTGATGAGTCAGCAGCCATTAGGCCTCACCTGTGCAGTCCAGAGAGGCTTTGCTGTTTGGATGCTCTGAGCTGGGTCTTTTTCTTTTCTCCATCCTGTCTCTCTTCTTATCCTTCTCCTTGACAAATGAATACAAATCCAAATTAGCAATGTGTCACATCAAATGGAATAACTATTAAAAGACAAATAAGGAGCAGTTTCTCACATGGTCTCTGTGTTTGTGTTTGCGCTTCTTCTTTTTTATTGTATGTTTGGTAAGATCTGGCACCGTTAGAAGGGACGGGGGGCGATCTGAGTTATCCTGAGGGTGATCTTGTGGAATTTCGGGTTCTTTCGGGGGAGCGTGAGGTGGTTCTAACCTTTTAGCCACCTTTTCTTCCTGCTGACAGACTGCTGACAAGGAGTCAATAAGTCTCTGAGGATCAAGCGATACTCTTTGCTTGTCATCTGCTGTGATGTCCTCGTGAGCTTGTTTAGAAGGCCTCGTTTTTGACTTGTCACTGGCTGCTTTGCTGGAAAAATGGGAAATCCTGGGCTTCTTGGAGGCCAAAGGGTCAGTGTATTCCTCTGGCAGGGAATGCTTTGGACGGTGTGCTGGCGAAGAGTTGGGCGTGTCTCGCAGTGGGCTGACCTGGGCCTCAGGGACAGCGAGGAGGTTCTGTTGCGGTTGAAACAGTCGCCTGCACAGAAAACACAGGGCATCAGCTTTAATTAGCATTTCCCTGGAATCCATTCTTCTTTCTTGCATGTGCTGTACAGTGCAATGCAACAGCAGAGCCCTCCAGATAAACACATAATAATATAGTAAAAAAAATAAATGATGCAAGTGTTAAATGTTTAAAAAGTCTAAATCAAAAGCACCACAATGCTATGCTTTTAGAAGCTGCCTTTATTTCACTCTGTGATCAAACATATCCCATAATTCCCCTGACTCTCCTTCTTGGTTAAATAGGCTTTACAGAGCCTGGAGGTGTCCAGTGGCTCATTGTCCTGTTATTTAAATAAATAAATGTCCCACTAAACAAACCAGATGGGATGACGTGTTGCTGCCAAATATGTTGTTTAAATTTTGCACTGAATCCTGAATAAGTCGCCAACACCATCACACCTCCTCCTCCTCCATGCTACGTAGTGGGACCCACATATGCAAATACCATCCGTTCACCTTCTGCTTCAACCATACAGGCCTAATTCATGCAGTCTCCTCCGAACGGCTGACGGTGACACAGATCAGATAATTAAACTCTAAGATGTGGCCTCTTGCTAACTGAATTTATCCGCAGCACCAGAGCACTCGCTGTGAGAATAAGTTTCATCAGAGCCTTCGATCGCTGTGCAACTGCATTTGAAGAGAATTTCAAACTAAGACTGGTTTATGCAACCTGAGTGCTTCCTTCTGTATTATGAGTAACTACAACAGTTGAATAGGGATGTTTGCTGAATACGAACACCATCTCGGCACAATTCAACCAAGATGATATGAAGCTGGCATCAAGGATGATCATGAATGGCTTGGCACAAAAAAAGGGAACTGATTAATTTTTTTAAATGTCGATCGTTATCATCAGCCAAACTGTTACGGTAAACTTTCATTTTGGTTCAGAATTTCACAATCGCTGCATCTTCTGTCCAAATATGTCATTTCATACTCTCGAATTATCACAGCAGCTTAAAAAAA